TAACCGTAGTGACTGAACCTGGTTTAAAATTCTGGATTGCAGCTCTACCAGCTGCAGTGCTGCACCCTTAAAAGTTAAACCCTCTAATTATGGTCACATATTGTGTTTTATAGCCAGGTGCTGGGACCTCCAGGTTGAAAAGGGTTAACAGCCTTTAAATTGTCAGTGCAGAGGAGTGCTGAGTAGATCAAACTCATGCACTTATGTAGGCTGCGCTCATATTTGACTCTGTGCCCACAGCTTCAGTGCCTTTAAGGTTTTTTTGCCCTGATTTTTGTCTTTCATCTGTCGGATTAGGAAGACGTTTAGTGTACGATAAATCTCTGTGTCCTTCTTGCCAGGAGTGAGATTTGAAAATTACATGATGCCATTTGAAGGACTGTAAAAATTATCAACTGCAGTGTTAGGTCACTTCAAACAGCAGAACTGAAGCATGACAAATGGTCACTCTTTAACCCCTCAAGCCCGGCGCTATTAAATTTCACCTGAAAGACAATATCTTCAATTTCTGTCACCAACAGCAGCACAACAGTGAAGGATTAGGATGTGGAAATGCATATAATGAGTCTCCACATCACAATCAGCAGGCTGGAGTGAAACGTTCAGTCACATTCATTTAAAAAAAATCCTGTTTTAACAATTCGCAGCTGTAATTCTTCCAGATTTGACTGGAAGAAAAAGAAATCTAACATTCAGTCATAGTTTAGTCAGTTACACTGGCTCTTGTTGTTTGTGTTTTAATGACCTCTGGGGTCAAAAGGGTTAATTTATTTTTTAAACTCTCAAAGAAAAGAGCCTGAAACACACAGTTCAGGGCAAAACAACAAACCTATCAAAAATCCCTGAAAGCAGTTCAGGAAGCTGTCAGCATAAAGTAAGTGTATCGAGATTTCTATCTGCTCAGCACTCCTTTGATTGAACAAACAATATAAACAGGATGAAAACTGTGGAGTTTTCATCCTGTTTAGAGGGTTTTAAGTGTAGGTGTAGAGCAGAGTGTGCAGGGACAACACTGCACCGCTAATGAAACCGATTTAGCCTCTTACATGTAAGAGAGTTAATAAAGTCAGACTGAATGTGAAACTTTTATTTGCATTAACTGCTGAAGAAAAATGTCTTTTTATGTCTGTTTGATATAATAATCAGATAGTGATTGTATAAGTCAGTCAGTCTTATTTTAGTATTTTTGATCCACTTTCACTTGTTTTATTAACGTTACTGCATTTCACTATTTATACAAACTCAACATTTCCTGGTGGTTTAAAATTAAAACCTTCACAGGGTTTCACTGGACAGACTTAAAAAGACTTTTATTTTGAAACATTTGTGGAAAACTCATACATTCAACTCATACCTTATTTCCTAAAAGGTAAAGATTTATTTAAAAATGATAAATTCTGTTATTTAACTAAAGAAAAGGTGGTTGCGGACTTAAATACAGTATCAAACAATCAGCCTTTAATGGCGTCGATGCAGGAAATAGCAAAGTCTAAAATAATCCAGAGCATATGCCAAACTGAGCTACTGCAGGGAATAAGTTACCAGAAAACTCTAGAACGTCCTCAAAGACACAGAACGAGGATACAAACAGCAAAAAGGGACAACTGGACAAAGGACAAGGGGAGAGTGAGACAATATATGCATAGAAGGGTGAGTGAGAGTGGAGACACAGCTAAACCAAACAAGCTAAAACCTACGAGTAATGTCAGGGACT